TTATAATATAATTTCTGTGGCTTTTAGTATATTAAAAGTTTTTTTTTAATGTTTGTTAATTTTTTTTCCCTTAACTATTTGAAAGTATATTGTAGACATTGTGCCACTTTATCCATAATATTTCAGTAACTAGGAACAAAGATATTTCCTTCCAAATCATAATACCATTATTGCACTTAAGACATTTGCTAATAAAATACGATAAAACGTTCTAATATTCAGTCCATATTCAAATTTCAATTGCCCCCAGAATGTACCTTTAGAACTTTTTTTTTTTATCCAGAATTAAATCAAGAATCACACATTACATGTAGTTACCTCTTTAGTTTCCTTGATTCTGAAAGGTTTCTCCTTTTTGAGGGGGAGATGGTGTTAAAGTGACACTTTTTGGCTGTTGTGAAAAAAGTCCCAAAGTTGTTTTTGTTTTTGTTTTGTTTTAAATTAAGTTTAGGTTAAACGTTTTTGGCAAGAATACTACAATTCGGTGTGTGATACCATGCCTTCATATATCAGGAGGCGCATATCATTTTGTCCCATTTTTTTAAGTTTGCTCAGTTAAGGTAGTGCTTGACATACCTGCGTTGTAAAGGTTGTCTTTCTTCCCTGGTAATGAATAATCTCCCTTGTAATGAATACTCTGTGGAATGAATACTCTGTAGGTTGATACTTTGAGACTGTGAATTTATGTTTCCAAAAACATTATCAGCCATTGCTTTTTTTTTTATGTTTATTTTTGAAAGAGAAAGAGCGGGGGAGGGGCAGAGAGACATCACAGAGGAACCAAAGCAGAGTCTGTGCTGATAGCAGAGAGCTCCATGCGGGGCTTAAACCCCCAAACTGTGAGATCATGACCTGAGCTGAAGTGGGATGCTTACCCAACTAAGCCATCCAGGCGCCCCTCTGCCACTGCTCCTATTGTTTATTCAGATTTTTAAAATTTGTATGGTTTCAATCATACAAATCACATGATATTATAAACATGCAGACACTCTATCCTCATGTACTTGAACAAATCCTAAAACTAACCATATTTACTCAAGAATTTATTTTTATTTTTTTTAATGTTTATTTACTTTTGAGAGAAAGAATGTGAGCAGGGGAGGGGCAAAAAGAGAGGGAAACACAGAATCTGAAGGAGGCTCCAGGCTCTGGACTGTCAACATAGAAGCCCAACATCGGGCTCAAAATCACGGACTGTGAGATCATGACTTGAGCCGAAGTTGGTCCCAATTTCCCTCCTTCCCTCCATTATCAGGGAGTCATTATTGAATTTGCCATTCATGTTTTGTGCTTCCACTACATATGTGTGTATTCATAGACATTAACAAGTATTGGTTTACAAGTTGTTGGGGTATTTTTTAGTTTTTATTTTAATTCCAGTTAACAGAATGTTGTGTTCATGTCAGGTGTACAGTATGGTGATTCAACAATTCCTTATATCACCCGGTGCTCATCACAAGTGCAGTCCTTAATCCCCATCACTTATTTAACCGGTCCCTTATTTTACAGGCTGTTCATCTTAATACATGTGTTGTCCTACGGTGGGGGAATTTGCAGTTTGCTTTTTTTGGTTCATTGTGTTTTTAATACTTGCTCATACTCATTTATTATAAATATTGAATGGTAGTTATTGCCTTTTACAAATACCCTAATTTATGCAGTCTGTTGGTGGACTGGTATACATTTAAATTCCCAGTATTATTTGTCTTTGCTATTATGAACTATGCTGCAGTGATGATCATACATATCTCTGTGGACAAGACATGTGCTGTATAAGAAGGCCTCCCTGGATTACATAATTGCAAGTAGAAATCCTGAGATAGAGATGAAGAAGTTTAAATTTCAGTAGACCTTGCTGAATTTTACTTAGTGGCTGCTCCAATTCACTCCTACCCATGGAAAGTTCCTGTTTGTTCATACCATCAGTAACAGCTCCAATTGTCATACTTTTTTTTTCCTCACGACTTAATTTTTTTAGAGAAATTTTAGGTTTACAGTAAAACTGAGAGGAAGATACAGAGATTTCCCAAATACCTGCTGCGCGCACACATGCATAGCCTCCCCCACTGTCAACTTCACTCACCAGAGTATACATTTTTACCAGGGATTCCTACATTCACGCATCGTAATCGCCCAGAGCCCATGGTTTTTACCTTAAGGTTCTCTCTCGGTGTGTAAGTGTTTCATTTTAGGTGGTGTAAGTATAAATAGTATTGTGTTTTCGACTTCAAATTCCACCTGTTCATTGTTGAATAAGAAAGCAATTGATTTTTGTGTATTAACTTTGTATCCTGTAACCTTGCTAAAATCACTTGGTTCCATGAGTTTGCTTGTTAATTCTTTTAGATTTTTGACCTAGGTGATCATATTGTATTGAAAAAATTTTGCCAATCCTTTGGGTTTAGAATGGCATCCCCACTTGCAAATGTTGTGTATAATTGGCCATTTTTTTTGTTTATAACTTTTATTTTTTTGTTGGGTTGTAGGGTTGGGTTTATTTTTTTTGATGTGTAGATGGTAAATATAAATTTAGAGGGGCTTTAGTTATTCAGTTTTAGGTTTGCAGATATTTTCTCTCAGTCTATTTGGTTACACTGAATTTTTTCTTATGGTGTAGAAACTTACATTTTAATGTGTCAAATCTATCTTTTCCTTGAGGATGTGTATGTACTCTTCATGTTTTTTTTTAATGTTTTATTTATTTCTGAGAGAGAGAGAGACAGCATGAGCAGGGGAGGGTCAGAGAGAGAGGGAGACACAGAATCTGAAACAGGCTCCAGGCTCTGAGCTGGCTGTCAGCCCAGAGCCCAACGCGGGGCTTGAACCCACAAACCGCGAGTTTATGACCTGAGCCAAAGTCGGACGCTTAACCTACTGAGCCACCCAGGCGCCCCCATGTTTTATTTTAAATTTGGCCAGAACTATTATAAAATTTGAGAGTCATAAAGATACTTTTCAATATTTTCTTTTGACAGTTTAAAAATGTTGTCTCCTCTGGGGCACCTGGGTGGCTCAGTTGGTTGAGCGTCCAACTTTGGCTCGGGTCATGATCTTAAAATTAGAGTTCAAGACCTGCATCAGGCTACCGGGCTGTCAGCGTGGAGCCCACTTCAGATCCTCTATCCCCCTCTCTCCCTGCCCCTCCCCCACTTGTGGTTTCTCTCAAACATAAAAATAAAACCTTAAAAAAATGTTGCCTCCTCCTTAGGTCATTAATCCCTCTGGCATTGATTGTTGAGAATGGTATGATCTAATTTGACTTTTTCCTCATATGGATTATTACTTTGCTTTTTGATTCGTTGAATAATCCATTCTTTCTCACTAATCAGTAATATTTCCTTTGTCATTTGCCTCAACTTTGTACGTTTATTTATATAAAGGAAATTAGCCCTTTCTCATGTGTACAAATGTTTTTCTTTTCCTTTCTGTCATTACAGCACCTTGCTTTTTTCACCTATCTTGAAGATCTTTCTATATCAACACATAAAGACTCCCCCCTCTCCCTCATACACACACATACGCGCGCGCGCAGGCACCCATGTGCATGCAAGCGTGCAGGCACACAGTATCCACAGTACCATATGTATATAGCATAATGAGTTACTTACTAACACTGTTTCCAATCTCTTGCTACAATGAATATTTTTGAGCATGCACAGTTTAAGCCAATTGCTGAGACACAAAGTTTGGTCACTTAAACTTAAGATAGTTTTGACCAAATTACCTTCCAATGAAGTTTTAACAATTTATATCCCCATCAGTACTGAATCACTATGTCTGTTTCCCTACTCTTCCCAATGAAGTGTGCTATCAAGCTTTTTGATTTTTGCCAATCTGGAGAAAAATGGTACCTCATTATGGTAGTACTTCACATTTTCCTTAGTGTGAATGCCACTGAGTATCTTTCTGTATGTTTGAGCCATTTGTGTTTCCTTTTCTGTGAGCTGTTCATATCCTTTGAACACACTTTCTTGGATTGTTGGTCTCATTGATTTGTAGGCTCTCTTCATACAAAGGAAATTTGTTCTTTCTCACTTGTTTAATCATTTTTTTCTTTACTTTTTTTTTGCCATACAGAAAAGTTTAAGTTTTATGTGGCTGATTTGATTTTATCAATCTTGTTTTATGGCTTCTGAATTTTGTTTCATGAACCTTCCAATTTGGAAATTATAAAATAATGTCTCATTTTTTTCTCTAGCAATTTGAATGTTTCTTTTTTTGTTTTGCTTTGCTTTGTTAGTGATCTGTAACTTTATGGAGGAAAGCAGAAATGGAGAGAAAATGCTTAATTCCTGATACCTTTCCTGTTCCCCCCCTCATTGCCCACTGTGTCTCCACACTCCATATGGCTTAAGCTAATACGATTTGGTTATAGTTTGGAACGAGAGTTCGGCTTCATATAACAGACAAGGGTGAGTTCTGAAGGTTGAGAGCAAAGAGAAAAGCTGCTCTTCCTTTGTAAGTGCGTGTTAAGGGAGACTGTTGAGCGTTTCAAAGGCCAGGAGCAGGAGGTGGTCCAGGGTATGATAGAGCAGCTCGGTGTGGAGATAGGATGGGGAGAGGTCTCCTAGAGCTCACTGGCCTCACCAGTTTACATGACAAGCATTTATTGATCCCTCACGTCTCATTTGAGTCCCACGATTCAACAAGGGAGCTGGCATTAGACCCATTTATAGAGAAGGAAGGCAAACTCCAGAGGGGTTAAGTAACCAGGAAGTGAAGGCAGTCATGAATTGCACACAGCTGTGCCAGACTCCAGAGGCCTCCAACTTAAGCACCTAACCTCTATCACAGGTGCTTCTTGCAGGTTGCACAGGTACAGGCGGCACCTTTGAAAAGTACAGCCCTCCTCGCCTCCCATAGATTCTGCCTGAGGTCCGGGTGGATTATGTTGCAAAAGCTCCACAGATTCTGCTTTGCACCTAGAGTTGGGACACGGCCTCCTGCAGTCCTTCTAGGTCAGGGGGTCCTAAGCCTGACTGTGCATCAGAATCGTTGGGATGCAGGTAGTAATATAGATCCCGAGGCCCAACCCAGGTTTCCAGAAGCGGGATTTGGGGACTGGCGTCGTGGAATGTGAATGCCCAAAGCTGTCTGGCCAAGCCTGGGACTTGGGACTTGCTCCTCCTCCGCCTTGACACCAGCTGGCCAGTTCAGGCGGTAATGCCGGGGCGCTCCGCCAGGGGGCGCCGGGGCGCCGCGAGGGGCTCGCGGGTGAGGCGGGGCGAGGCGAGGCGAGGCGGGAGGCGCGGGCGGGGCCGGGCGTGACCCGGAAGCCCACGGCGGGTTCCGCCCCCCGCGCCGGCAGAGGCAGGCTCGGACCGGCCCGCCGAGCTGCCGCCGCCCTTCGCTCCCGCCGCGCGGACACCATGCTCCAGTTTCTGGTGAGTGGCGCTGCCCAGCAGGGGCCCCGGGGCGGCTTCGGGGCCCTCGAGGGCTCCGGAGCCGGGCCACGGGGTGTGGGGATGTGCGCGTGGGTCCGCGGCCCCGCGGCGCCCGCTCGTCGCCCGGCGTGGGCTGCGGGGTTCTGTTTCCGCCGGGCGCCCATCCCTTTGCAGTCGTCCCGTTGTGCAGTCATTCAAGTCACCGAAACTTGGAGGTTGACGTCAGCAGGCGTTTTCAGAGCCGCTTCTGGCCGCCCCGGAGGGCCCTGTGTAGTCCTGGTGTGAAAGCTTCTGACGTCCTGCGTGACTTCGCGGCCTCCCCCTTCTGCCCGCCCGCACCCCGCCCCCCATCCCTGCGGGAGAGCCCTGCGGGTTGGGTTTTTGAGAACGGAAGACGGCGGGGTGGGGGGCAGGAATAAGCTCCCACGAGGCGCAGAAGCTCAAGGTCGGAGTAGGAGGTTTTGGGGGGGGGGGGGGGGGGGCGGGGGCTCGTCAGGCCTTTTAGAGCTTCCAGACCTTGAGGAAGGCTGGTTGCTGGCATGGATGAGTCAGACCCTGGTGTGCAGGCAGCTCTTCCATAGCGCTCGTTGTGGGGGGAAATTAGTGTTACTTTGAGTAAATAAATTATATCTCTTGGCTCTTGATTTCTGTGAAAAACCGGCTTTCTGGCAAAGCCGAGTGTATTTTTTTTTTAAAGCAGAGTTAATTTTTTTTCTTTTTAATGTTTTATTTCTGAGAGAGAGCGAGAGCAGGGGAGGGTGAGAGAGAGAGGGAGACACAGAATCTGAAGCAGCTCCAGGCTCTGAGCTGTCAGCACAGAGCCCGACGCGGGGCTCGAACCCAGGAACCATGAGAGATCATGATCTGAGCCGAAGTCGGACGCTTAACCGACTGAGCCACCCAGGCGCCCCGAAGCCGAGTGTTTTTCAGAGATTGCCTGGTGAAGGTTTCAGCGCGTCTCACAAACCATTTCCAAGTGAAAGTGCCTCTTGCAAGTTTTTGAGCCGTCCACACTTGACACTTCCAGTCTCTGATTCGGACAAGAAGCAGGTGCTCCTTTGTCTTCCTGAGTGCCCTGGAGATGAGATGCTTTCCTGCATGTTATACTCTTTATCAGAGGGAATCACCAAGTGCCCTTTCTGGCTTTTTGAGTTTTTTGTTTTTGAGATGGTAATTGATTTTTTTTTTTCTTTTTAAAAGTTTTTACTTAAATTCCAGTTAGTGAACATACAATGTGATATTAGTTCCAGCTGGACAATATGGCGACTCAATACTTCCATGAGCCTGTGCTCACCACAAGTGCCCTCCTTGATTCCCATCCCCCACTCCCCTCCCCTGTGGTGACCATCAGTTTGTTCTCTGTAGTTAAGAGTCTGATTTTTGGTTTGCCTCTCTCTTTTACTCCTTTGCTCATTTGTTTTGTTTCTTTTTTTTTAATAGTTTATTGTCAAGTTGGTTTCCATACAACACCCAGTGCTCATCCCCACAAGTGCCCTCCTCCATGCCCATCTCCCCCCCTCCTCCCACATCCATCAGTCCTCAGTTTGTTTCTTAGCATTCAAGAGTCTCTCATGGTTTGCCTCTCCCCCTCTCCCCCACCATTTCTCCCCTTCTCCTCCCCCACGGTCCTCCGTTAAGTTCCTCCTAATCCTCCTGTACGTGCAAACATATGGTAGCTGTGGTAATTGATTTTTAAAATCTCTACGGGGAAAAAGGTATCCTTGACATAAACTGCCCAGCCAGGACAGGGCTGTACCCTTTGCCTCGGGAAGTTTCTCCAGTGTCCTAACTAGGTGTTAGTTTAGGAGGCAGTAGAAATAATTAGTGTCATTTAGTTGTAGGAAACACAAAGTTTAAAGACAGTATCAGTTAGTGGCGCCTGGGTGGCTCAGTCGGTTAAGCATCCGATTTCGATTCAGGTCATGGTCTCAGGGCTCTGAGTTAAGCCCCACATGGGGCTCTGTGCGGACAGCTTGGAGCCTCGAGCCTGTTTCAGATTCAGTGTCTCCCTCTCTCTCTCTGCCCCTCCCCCACTCGTGTTCTCTCTCTCTCTCTCTCTCTCTCTCTCTCTCTCTCAAAAATAAACTTTAAAAAGAAAAAAATAGTATCAGCCCCAGAGTGTAAGGTGATAGCATTGAGACTTCTACAGCTGTAGCTTATTGATTCCATTATACTTTATAAGTGCTTTTGCAGAGTTTTGGAATAGACTTTTGCTTGTGTAAAAATATGCATGTATCTGATTTGAAGATTCAGAAGTCTCGGCATTCAAGGAGAGATGCTGCTGCCATTCATTAAATTCCTAGCTCGGAAGTCACTGGAACGTGGCCATTCTCTTGCCCCTTGGTCTCCTGTCTCCCCATTACAGCTTTTGAAAGACTTGGATGGTGTTACTTTTCACCTTGTTTTTACCTCTGCCGAAGGATTCACCTGTCTCGGGTCCAGCACGTCTGGACCCATGGCCTCTTCCGTCCCCCACCCTGCAAGCCATGTCCCACACCTGACTTCTTCCTCTGTCCTCCAGCCCTGTCTCAAATTTGAAATGCTAACATAATCTTTGATTTATTTCTCTCCTTCATTCTCCGTATCCTTTACCTGCTGTGCCTGGAACATAAATTTCCCTGTGTAGTCTTGGGCAAGTTACTTGACTCCTCAGTGCCTCAGTTTCCCCCAACATAAACTGGACAGTAATAGTACCTGCTTTAGAAGTCTGTGAAGAGCAGGAGCTAATTCATGAATAGAGAGCGCTACCTTGCACACAGTAAGCACTCAGTAAACATTAGCTATTGTTTGAGGCCATTGGGTCTTCGTTACTCACCTCATGAAAGTTCCATCTTTATGTTCCCCACTGCCAAGTTCGTAGCGTCAGCCTTTTTTACCCCGCCTTTGCACTACTGCGCCAGTCTAGTGGGTGTGGGAATGTGGGCTTGAGTTGGAAGAGTGACTTTAGGTTATGCAGTTTCACTACCATGCTGACACCGGGGCCTCCACCGCTAACCGCGTTATCTGGTTTCTGTTTCGTCACCTCCGGTTAAAATGGGCTCATTACAGAGCCCATGGGTGGCTCAGTGGGAAGGGTTCTGTCTCTCCTGCTCTCTGCCCCTTACCTGCTTGTGCACTCTCTCTCTCAAAATAAATAAACTTAAAAAAATAAATGAATAAAATAGGCCCAACTACTTCCTCAGATGATCTGTCACTTTGGGTCACCATCTAACACCGTTCTTGGTGTTAAAGAGCAGTTTTCATCCACATGCCAACACTTCACATATCTGAGGAGCATTACCTTGGTACGTCTCCCTGTCCCCCTCACCCCCATCAGTCTTTAGACTAAATGTCTCTGATTCTTACATCATTTTTTATGATTTCAGGTTCATGCTGGTTAGCCTTCCCTGATTAGTCTAGTTTGGGGTTCTTTGTTTTGAAACATGGCATTCCCAATCCATTCTGATCAGCCATAGAAAAGTAAGGCTGTCTTCTCTACTTCTGTGTTTCCTTTGACGCCCTTGGTGTCCTGTCTGCTCTTGCAGCTGCCGGAGTAATTGTCCAGTATTGTCTTATTCACATGCTCAGAAACTGCCAGTGGTCTTTGTCCCTCCACATCCTCCACATCAGGTAGTAAAATCAAGTAACTTACACTTGATTTTCAAGATTTGCGAATCTGACCCCGTTTTCCCTTCCTACTGCCTTTCAACATATGTCCTCTGTTTTAGATTGAATACTGATCAGGACCAACCTGTGGACCTTCCTGCCATCAGACCTGCCCATATGGTTTTCCCTACTCTTAATGGCTCAATTCCCATCTTTTTCCATGAGCTCCTGAAGTGTTGACACTGTTAAGATCCATCTCCCCATTAATTTACATCTTTATATGTCTTTCATCAGTGTTCTATTAGGTTCTCAGTAATAGTCTTGTACCTTGTTTTTTATATGTATATTTCCAGGTACTTTTTAAGGTAGCTGTTAAGAGTGGCATTCTTTTTAAAATTACATTTTCAAATTCATTGCTGATGTATAGAAATACTAACTTTGGTGTATTGATTTTTTTTTAATGTTTGTTTATTTTGAGAGAGAAAGAGAAAAGGAGAGAGGGAGGGAGACAAAGAATCCCAAGCAGGGTCCATGCTGCCAGCACAGAGCCTGATGCAGGGCTCCATCCTGTGAACTGTGAGATCATGACCTGAGCTAAAATCAAGGGTCTGATGTTTTACTGACTGAGCCACCCAGGTACCCCTGGTGTATTGATTTTTGTATCTAGCAGTCTTTCTTATCTTTTAACTCCCATATTTTGTACATTCACTTGGAAGTGAATTAGTGAGTGCCATACTGTGAAGACAGTCTTATCTCCATGAAGGCCGCAAGGACAGTTTTGTGCTCTTTTCCAATATTTTTGTATATCTCAAGTTAGGACTTCTAGCAGTAGTAAGAGTGGATATCCACTCTCTGCTTCTAGTGAAAATGGTTTTGAGGTTTTAGTATTATGTGTTCCTGTTATTTCCTTAAAGATTAACAAAATTCTCTTCTATTTCTAGTTTAAGAGCTTTTATTGTGATTATTGTGATTGTTGAATTTTATCATGCTGACTCCCCATCTGGTGATCAAGTGATTTTTCTCCTTTAGTGTGTTCGTACAAATGACATTAGATTTCTAACATGAAGCACTTAAACTGTGTGGCCCATTCAGACCATCATTTGGTGATGCACTGTTTCCTTCACTTGCACCTTCACATATTTTATTTAGTGTTGTCTTTCTAGAATAGACTGTAAATCCCAGGGGAGGAAGCAGCATGCCTTGTACTTCGATTTCCTAAGCACATGGCACTTAGGCGGTACTATGTGGTTTATTTCACTTATTTAATTAGATATTCCTCGTTTGCCTGATGACAACTCTCAGATATTCATAAGGTATTTGAATATTTGAATCAGCTTCTTTGAGAACATATAGACCGGCTCTACCTGATACACCTCTTTCCAGAATGTTACAGCTAACTTTTTCATTAATGTCGC